GAGATTGTTAGAAGGAAAGGTCATCGTGTATTGTGTAGGTAGGATACTGTCAGGTTGCCCATGCCTAGACAGGAGAACGATTAGGGTTCTCAACCAAAGCCTTTGGCCCAAAAAGTTACCGCATGGTAGCGGGGTTTTGGCATTGGACTACTGAATAAGGAGCCACCCCACTCCAACCTGGAGGGCCAGGAGACTGAGTTTGTCTGGCCCCTAATCACTGAGCAATCTGGTATCAGCGGCTCTGAAGATGCAAAAAGCACCACCCAGCATAGCTCAATGAGGCACACAAACCATCGCACCACGTTAAGATCCAGTGTCATATTGTTATAAGCTTTTAGTTACCCAAAGGCAGAGCATACAGAGCACGCAGTACGGGAACGAAGTTGTCGAGGATGCTATTCATCAAGAAGGTGCAACTATGCAGCTCTATAGACAGAATCGAAGGCAGCACGGCTGTCCAAGAACACAATAACCGTTGGTTTTGGTACACACGGCGAAGGTAAAAGATCTGGTGGTGTGAATGTATGATCGATGCGGCCGCAACCAGGGTGGAACCTAGCCTGGTCATCGCACGTTGTGGATAGCTTGCGAAGTAGGAGACATCAAAAGCTTTCATACGTGAGGAACCAAAGTTACGCCCTATGTGAAGATGGGGCCGACTATTGACTTACAGCAAGACGATGGAACCACATCCAATGACCAGACTTCTGAGAACAAAGCAGTGAGTTCTCGAATCAGCGAATAGCTTCTGTCATTAAATACAGCATGAGGTAAATCATCAGGGCCTGGTGTTTTATAACGCTTCAGATGGCGGAGTTTCTGTCAGATTTTCTGGTAAGGAGGGTCAGCGGGGACAGACCACTCAGAAACAGTGCGCGCCCCAGAAAAAACAGGTGGAGTTGGTGGCCAACAAAAAGTCGGGCCGAAATGTTCAGCCTATCGTTGCAACCGTCGTGCAAGATTGGTGATTAGGGAGCCATACTCTTTGCATATTGTTTCGCTTACTCCAGATCAGAAGCCTTCGGTGACTCGGGTGAGGTAGAAAAGTTTTCTGGCATCACCAGGGACTAGCGAGTTCACACCCCCAGACTTCACGGTCTTTTCGCAAACTGCTGTGCAATTCTCGGTAAACGGACCGGCGTTAACTACAGCTAGCATCAACAAGGACCAAGAGGAGTCTGTTCATCAGCGACAAGGAGACAGAAGTGACCCAACATTTTTGTGGATGAAATAACTCCACAACTGTCAATATTGGTAGAAATTAGGAGCGCTGATGCGCACCCATTATGAATCCAGATCATCGTAAGAGGGGCCAGTGCGTGTTGTACCACAGCAGTACGCCAATACGCAGCACCGACGTTCCGCTGCCGTGTAAACACTAACAGTCGCGTGTGGGCTAAGGATACTGTGAGGGTCGCCCGGTTTCCTATACAGACCCGAACCTGCGCCCTCGGACTACAAGGCAAGCTAGTGATCGGTTAAACCACGAGCCTATCGGTTTTTGAGGGGAGACAGTAACCTCGTACGAGCTCTTATGAGGTAGGCAAAACTGAGTTTTCCGGATATATAAATACTGATCAGCTATTGTGAGAGACACGATAAGTGCTACCCACGTTGGGCAACAAAGATTACAGACAAGTGCACGGCTGTACTATGATAAGGTCCGCCCTTATGGTGTTAGATTATCGAGCATATTTGTAGGAGCTATCTCGTCCTATCATGGGACACGGTGGTCACCGTCGAAATTTCTGGCGTGCCGACCCACTCCGTCTGAAAACGGCCGCAAGCGCTACGGATTGGGGTATCTCTGAACACATTCACTTCGACGACGCGTGGAATCTTGTACTCTCCAAAATGACGTTAATTGGGCAGGTCGTTCCTTCCTCCCATCGAAAGCCCTTCGCTAGAGGTCCACCTTGGATGGATCGAGAGTTGAGGTCAACTATGAATAGAAGGCGTAAATTATGAGACCTCTTTAGGCAATTTCATTCAGAACTCGACTTTTCTCACTACAAGACTGTCAGAAATGTGTCGCATTGAAGCGCCAGAAACGCCAACAATACGAAGTATCCTTGGCAAAACACTCCAGAATCGCGACTAAAATGCTCTGCTCTTATTTGAAAAGAAGCACTAGAGCTGGTAATGGCATCCCTGCTTTATGTTCCCGTGATCATTAAGCTTTACTTCACGAGGAAGCTGAGAAAGCTAGCCACTTGGCTAAGCAATATGCTTGTGTTTACGCGAAAGAAACACCATTTAGTGACAGAGCCGTATCCACCTTTTCATCTTCGTTGGCTCAAGTAGATATTAACATTGATTCTGTGATGAAACTTCTTCAGTTAGATCCGCATAGTTCACCCGGTCCTGATGGATTGCATCCTTTGTTCCTCAGGACTGTGGCGGAGTACATAGCTTCACCCATATGTCTAATCTTTCGTCGCTCACTAGAAGCTGGCCGTCTTCCGTCAGCTTGGGAAGTGGGTATCGTCAAACCCATTTACAAAGAAAGAAGTCGACATGATCCGGTCAAGTATCGTCCAATCTGTTTGACGTCAATAGTGTAAAGTTATGGAACGGATCCTAAAACAAGCTGTTACAGAGTGTCATTTCTTGTGCCCAACATGGGTTCCGAAAAGCACGCTCCTGTACCTCGAACTTGCTCGTTGCTAAGAAGACGTGGGCAAGGTCGCTAGACTCCGGCAAACGCATGGACGTTGTTTGTTGACTTCAGCAAAGCTTTTGACAAAGTCCCATACGAACGGCTTCTGTCTAAGCTCCAAGCATTCGGTATTTCTGGGAACCTCCTGTCTTGGATCTCCGACTTCCTAAACGACCGCTCTATGCAAGTGAAGGTGAATGACATTTTCTGTTCCTGTTCTCATGACGAGTGGGGTCCCACAGAGCTGTCCTCGGTCCCGTACTTTCCAATATCTTCATCAACGACTTACCATCCACTCTTCAGACGGAGTGCCTAATCTACGGTGAAGACCTAAAGCTATATATGGAAATATCCAGCCTTGAAGACGCGGATAGATTACAAACTACACTCGAGCTACTCCATGATTGGTCGATTAAGTGGCAGTTGCCCGTAAATCGTGATAAATGCTCTGTTCTCCCCATTGGCTCATCTAACCCATTTGGAACTTACCACATTGGTGGTTGCTTACTCAGAAGCGCAACCTAAGAGAGGGATCTTGGAGTGATAGCATCATCAGACCTCAAATCTATTCAAGACACCCAGAAAAGGGTCACCGCGGCCTACAGGATGTTCCATTCTATACGTAGAGGGTTTTCTCTACTGACCCCGGGACTTTGCCGACTCCTCTTTGGCTCGCATGTACGCCCGATTCTCGAATACGGGCTACCTGGTGCCTACCCTCTCACCAAATCCGGATGTGATATGATAGAGAAGGTTCAACGGCGTGAATCCAAATCCGTCCCTGAGTTGCAAGACCACACTGACTTCAACGGCTGAACTTGTTTTCTCTAGGTTACCGCCGTCACCGAGGGGATTTGATATTCACTCGACGTATTCTCAGAGAAGTGGGTTGCGAGTTACAGGACTTCTTTCAACTCAACACTGAGTTCGACACGAGGCCACCATATGAAACTGTTCAAACAGAGGAATCTCCGTGTGCGGCTTAATTTGGCCTTATCAACTCGCGTGGTGAATGACTGGAACCGGTTGCCGGATCCTAGTATTGATGCTGAGACAGAGAAAGGTTTCAAACAACAGTTGGATTCTCACCTGAGCGCGCTGGGATTCTGCTGCCTCTAAGACAGCTACAGTGGTCCTCTGCGGAACCTTCTGCCGCAATGACCCACGCTATCTCCGCAATGATCAGAAAGTGAAGGAGCTGACAAAGGATCTTCCTTCTGCTCTCTATGATCCAATAAGCGGTTAGGGTTTGAAGGAATGGCATAGCAATTGGACTTGGGAGGTAATACTGCTGAGCATAGTGGTACCTAAGGAACAGGTGAGAACTTTAATGATACTGCAGTTGTTATGCTGGGGCTAAAGGTTCACAACAGGGTGTAGGGGATACATGAAGGAAACGTAACGACAAAAGTCTGGTTTCCGTTATCCGCTCTGCCATGTGTACACGTAGGGACACCCATGCAACCGCGATAGCTGAGAAAGGATGGTCAGATAGCCGTGGTTACGACACTACTAGGGTAGGTAAACCGAACGAGGTAACTAAGGATGGTACACTAGCGTCCAGCTCAAGAAGCCAGTGCAAACATTGAAAGCCTGGCAACAGTCCACAAAATGTCACTTCACACAAATGGGTGCAACCTCATTTCAACTCAAAACCTGGGAAAGGAGTTATGCTTATCTGACCACTGCTGCGATGCGACTCGGATGTTCAGTGAGTCAGAGAAGCATACCGGATGGCAAAAGAGGACGATGCGTGATTGCCCTCGATGGACAAATAGTGACGAGATTCGATCCAAATTGCTGGTGGAGATCTAGGAGCCAAAGATTGGTAATCCCTAGTTACTGTGATGAATGCAGCAGCGTACTAAACAGAATGGAAAAGTAGACCGACAGGTTGAGATAGAAGTACTAAACATGGTTACTACGAATGCCTGAAGAGCATCGATTCCTTTTCCACATGGGCAACACTGTCTTCGAAGGAGCCAGCGCAATTCTTAACTATTGTTCCTGGAACACCTTGTTACTCTGAACATAATGACGAAGGATAGTCCCAAACGACAAACAGGCAACAAAGATTGAGGGACTCGTTCAATGGACACACACCAATTAGAGTCAAGTTAGAGCTTAAGCTCGATAACAGATTGAAGGTATCAAGCAAGAACGATACACGTGGAAGGCATACCACTAAGTGTTCTAAGTATTGGGCAAAATCCGAAGTGTTCCGGTATCTCCAGCCTTGCTTCGTTCCCTGACCACCATATTGAAACGAGTATATGGTAGACTAGCTGCCAACTCACCTGGATACTACTGCAACTCCCCGAGTAAACAATAAGGCAGGCAATCGCGTGCAGCATTGTGTATTCTGTGAATCCACTTAATCGGTAAAACAGCCGGAATTTCACCGGTCAAATGAACTCATATAAAATAGATGTAACAATTACGACATCTGGCATGACTTCACATGATGACCTAGAAATCTTCGTCGTTTTCATCCGGCAAGGGAGCAACTGCTGCGAGCTGCAAAGGGAATTATGAAGAGATAAGGAGTAGTACTAACCTCGATTTCCTGCTCGTACTGTTTTACCAGGTTTGCATCCATGGTCAATTCTGGGGGCTGCATGGCCGGCATTTCTACAAACTCAAGGTTTGCGTCCCCGACGAGCTTTCTGGCTAGCCACAAAAAGGGTTTTTCAAAATTGTAGTTAGATTTGGCGGAGATGTCATAATACTGGAAGCTGCATTCACGAATATGAGAATACCTGCAGGTTCTTCTTTCGGTGGAAGGTTATCGATTTCGCCTTTACCTTCCGATCTTGAATGTCGACTTTGTTGCCACACAAAACAATGGGGATGTTCTCGCACACACGAACCAGGTCGCGATGCCAATTGGGAACATTCTTATAGGTGACACGACTAGTGACATCGAACATGATGATAGCACATTGTCCTTGGATATAATAACCATCCCGTAAGCCACCGAATTTCTCCTGACCCGCAGTATCCCAGACATTGAATCGTATCAATCCCCGGGAGGTGTGGAAATCCAAAGGATGCACCTCAACACCAAGTGTGGCTACAGAAAATAAGGCAACACCTGCATACTTACCGACATAACGCTTCTCGAACTCGCCAGTGATGTGACGTTTCACAAAAGTAGTCTTCCCAGTCCCACCATCACCGACCAGGACGAGTTTAAAAGTAGCAGCAGGCTCCATCGAACGGGCTGAAAACACGGAGGAGAAACAATTTAAAAGGGAGGTTCCGGCGCTTAAAAATGGCTGATTAAAACGTAATAATCAACTGCTAAACGCACACGAATATGTTACTATTAGATAAGTTTCAATTACGAGTGTACAGATTTTACTAATTTTGATTGTTTGTTTATGATGATGATTCAGTCGCTGGTTAGCAGCCTATTGGTTTCTTGGTTTCAAATATTTACAGACACCCTTCTCCGTTAATACATAATGATGAACTTTAGGATATTCATTTGGAACACCCGACCTACATTTCTTGCATATTTAATGCATTTTAGAAAAGAAGATTAACTTTGTCGAAATAGTCAGAATTTACCCGTTATGTATACTGTATAATCCTTCACAGTTTGTCTTTCCTACCAGCAATTTTATCATGAAATTTTTGTACAATTTGTTTGTAGTACCGATTACAGATACTTTTTCGTGGCCTGCGCCCCATCTTTCATATTTTTGGCTGTGCCGCTTCCGCGTGTATACGGTGTCGTCCAGTCCGCATGCGAATCGGATATTAGACTCGGAGTTACTACCGGAAGTCTATTTCCATCATGTTCTACATGTGCCACAGATAAAGCGCAAACTAGATTCGAACACGCTTTTTGGCGTACCATACTGTTCGAGCTTTTTATCTGAAATAACGTGGTATGCAATGTTTGGATAAACATTTGAAAAGAGGTTTGACTATCGTCAAATTTTCTCTGATCTAGGTTATCTTGGATCGATTAAAGTGGTATTGGCCAAAGCGTCTTTGGCGCTTACTGGTAATTTTTCCGGTTGTTCTCAGTTTTAATCCCGTTTTGCATCCTGTTTTTGCCCTTGTCTTGCGGTCGTTTTACTATTGTATACGTGTTGTACTTCTGCTCTGTTTTCCACATGAACCTGGCTGTCTCGCTAAACAACGAGGCGGATGGACCTATGAGGTCCTCGTTTGATGAGTCTACTGCAGCTTGCGGACAGATTAACTGTTCAGAGCCAGTAATAGATTTATCTGCCGGTATGCAGTGTGACGTCTGCTGCCGCTGGTGTCACGAAATTTCTACCGGCCTACAAGCTGACCAATACAAAATGCTGCCGTCCAGCGTTCAGTACTTTTCAGCTATGCTGAAGGCTGCGCTCAAAGATCGACGCGCCCGGCTATCACCGGTGCTAAACTTTCAGCGCTGGCTTCAAGATTGGCAGACGTTGAGAAGGCTGTAGCCAAACTCGCCTATATTGCGTCATTCGATGCGAAAATGGATTTAATTTTAATATCCCTGAATATTGCGATTGAAGGCACTGTAATAGCCGGCAACATTGCTGACGATCCATCTACTGTGGTCTGTCACTCGGTCATGAAGTCGCACATCTAACCGGTCAATCCAGGTAGCGTTGCTGGCTATCCTCATTGGCCTGTCAAAGTGAAGAAACATAGGATGCGGAAGTACAAGATGCCGTCCGCTAAACCCAGAGAATTAGTCGCCAAGGCATCGAAAAATATGACGTCTTTGACAGTCGTAAAGTCGTCTGACGGTTGTGCACAGGAGAACCTTCCGAAGATGCTGACCTTCTCGTCCCCCACTGAACCATCCCGTTCCGTCGAAGTGTTGGTAACTGCTCAATGCGATACAAGGTTGACGGCCCCTGTTCCTGGGAACCAAAAGAAGAAGCGAACTAGATCTGCCCGTAAAATTTCGAAGGGGCTTGCAGACCCGGGAACTAGTAAGACGCTGGCAATAGAGCAAAAACCTACGCTACCGTTACTTCGACGTCGTTTGTGAAGACAGGGACAGTCCCACCGCCAGTGGTGAAAACAGCTGGTATAGGTGTCGACTCCAAGGCACGTGAGGTAAACGCCCCCTGTCGTGCGGACTCTTTCACGGATGGTAACGTTATATTCCGTTAAGTTACTGAATCTGCGGCCGCTCTCCCAAGGGAACGCATTTTAGATGACATCACATGGCTGCAACTGTATGTCAGCCAGCTGCTTCCACCTGGCTTCCCTGGTGTCACTGTCAGAAAGCTGACCAGATTGTGGAACGTCCCCATCGCTACGCCAAATCCACGGCCCTGACCACTTCGCGTGTTCCTTTCTACCCCAGAGGAACGCAAATCATTACTGCGGTTTACATTCAACCTTAAGTGTAGTGGTGTCAGCGTTCAGCCGGACCTACCACTGGCAGATAGACTGAAGTCAAAGGCTCTCAAGGACCTCCAAACTTGACCGGCGGATGATGTGCAAGGTCTCCGTCTTGTGGGTTTTCAGGTGGTCAGCCAGAAGTTATTTTCCGCCCTATCAGAACCAATCCTGATGGCGCACGACCCAGGGATGTTAGTGACGACCTCCTTGAGGTGGTACTTAGCAACGTGTGTAGCCTAAAGAACAAGGTGCATGAGTTAGGTCTACTTGTAGACAAAGCCCGTCCCGACATACTTGCTTTCACTGAAACGTGGTTGTCTCCGGATATCACGGACGGTGAGGTATGTTTACATAGCTACGCGCTGCTTAGAACTGATCGGTCCGTTAGTCGCCAAGGCGGAGGCGTTGTACTGTATGAGCTGTAACTTACATGTGTTAAGGATCTGCACATTCCAGTCGTCGGCTCAGACCGTTAAAGCCCTATCGGCTGTTTGGTGCACTTCCTCTACCCATTTTACAGTTATAGTGATATACAGAAGTCCTGGAAGCTCTTCCAAGGGGATACTTGACTTTATTCGCCCTCAGTCTGCGAATAAGCGTTTACTTCTAGGGGATTTCAACCTCCCGGAATTTTGGTTGTCCAATCTTTCTTGCAATGTTGCATCAGGAACATTCGGTGCAGACATTCTTGAACTGGCTCTCCAAGTGCATTTGCACCAGTTCGTGGCCTTTCCCACTAGGTATATGGACAACCAAATACTTTAGATCTGGTTTTCGCTAAGTCCCTCGACTTCGTGACCGACCTTACATACGATGCACCTCTAGGGTGCAGCAATCACGTATGCATTTGTGCTCTTTCAAGGCACCAAGCGACCGCTGTTGAATTACTTCCGAACATTTGGCGGGCGGACTTTAGTGTAATGCGAGCTAAGGCTACAGTTCAGAACTGTGAGATCTCGATGGCTGACTCTGTCCAGGTAGCCTGGGATGAATTTAAGGCATACCTTATGGAGGGTTCCACTCCCTATATTCCACTCATGAGGAAAAGTGGGTTACAGGCACAGTCTCCATGGATAGATAACACAGGCAAATACCTACACAAGAAACGCTCTAGATGCTGGCGAACCTATTAAGCAGCTTCATCGGCCAGTACCTATGATAGTTATCGAGAGCCTAAAAATAAATATAAGCAACATCTCAGAACTTCTCGTCTCCAATACGAGCAGGGTTTAGCGGACTCGGCCGCAGCCAATCCCAAGAAGCTTTTTGCTTACGTTAAAAGACGCAGCGGGGCAAAACTGTCTATACCGGCGTCATTGCGAGCAGACAGGACCCGTGCGCAAACTGACTATGAAAATGCTTGTATACTAAGTGACCAGTATACTGGGGTCTTTGCTCGGGAGACCTCTTTATCACAGGTTGAATTGTTTTCAAGCGTTTCAGAGGATTATTGCTTAGCTGAATTTAGCATAACGGAGACTCAAGGGATTTTCCTGTCAGACTAATCTACTTGTGGCTAGTGAAAGCTGGGTCGAAGCGGTAGAAGTGGCCACGTGGATTTTTCGAAAGCATTTCACACAGCTCCATATCGCCGGCTATCATTAAAGTTGAGATCTTACGGGATATCTGGTCGCGACCTTCAATGGGTGTCTGCCTTGCTTGAGGGGAGAGAACAGCGCGTACGGGTGGGGCGTAGCCTTCCGCTCAGCCAAGCTGCCTCTTCCCTTTTCCGGAGGATCCTTCACATATCACGGACGTCATCTGATTCAAAGAGTTCCATTGATTCCCCATTTGACGGCGAACACAACGAACAAAAGCACACACAGTCACATTTACCTACTCACACAGTTAAACCTAGTTTTACATCTCAACACACACATAAATTCCTTTGCTATTGGTCAAAATGTACTAATTTGTGCAACTGCCGATCATACATGTCTGTAATACCATGATCACGCCCTAGATGGTGTGCCTCGCAGTGACGAGAATAAACTATTTATTTATTTATTTATTGTAGTCCCGCAGGGCTCGGTATTGGGGCCATTGTTGTTCACGATCTATGTAAATGACTTGCCGGGATAGCTAAGCTGCCATCACTAAGGTTTGCTGACAAGCATACGCTCTCGAAATTTGTGGATATCCCGGGGGTCCTGAGACAATTCAGAATGTTTCGGACAGCCTCTGGGGATGGTCTACCGTATGATTGATGCCCCTAAATAGCGACAAGTGCTCTGTTCTCCAAATCGGAGCTGCTAATCCTCCCACGCGATATGTTGGCGGCGGCGGTGACACTCTGTTGTCACTCAGCAGGTTTATTTAGGGGTCGTATACGCATCAGCACTTCATTCTGGCGGTAAATGGAAGAAGACTGCTTGTCGGGGTTTTCGTAAGATGCGGTTTATCCGCCGCTCTTTCGGAATCTTAACAGCTAAGTTGTTTGTGAAGTTATTCGCGGCATTCGTCCGACCCCACCTGGAATATTGTATCCAGGCTTGTCCATCATGACTTAACCGAGACAAAATGGACTTGGGTTGGTGTCACGAGTGAGCGCTCGGTTTGTGCAGGTTATAGGAGGACAGATGTATCCTGAACGCTTGCTCAGTTTGTGGATGTATTCATTGCGCTACTGAAGGATAAGAGGGGACCTGATTCTCGCTTAGGGCATTTTGAGAGGTAAGTTTGGCCCGGACTTTTCAGGGCTATTTAGTCTCGTTACGTTACCTAACCGCCGCGGTCACCCACTGAAGCTGCATAAACCACGGTCTGTTAGGATTAGGACAGAAACTCGTCTATCGCGCTGAGTTATAGATCGCTAGAATTCGCTTCCAGACCAGGGGGTTAGGGAACCTAAGGTTAAGGGTGTCGCGTGCCAGCTCGATGCTCTTGGATGGCAACAGCAAAACTTTTCCTTTTT